AGATTTGTAGACGAAGAAATGCGGACGAAAAATTGTGCTACGAAGAAATGTCATGCGAGGATTCGTTCGGGTACCATGACATTTATGTGATTTCAAAGTCAAGGTTCACAGCTGATCTGCTAAATCAAGCCAAGAATCCAAACTATCAAAAAACTATAAATATTTGTTTGTCTGTCACAGAGGTCTCAAGCAATATAAGGTTGACATATGTTGAATCAAAAATCTAGTTACTGCCACAACTCACATCTCCTGCCTTAGTTTATCATTGTTGTTTTAACTTGCTTTCAAGAGAAACAGAAGCCAGTAGATGATATCACTTCAGATGATTGTTTCAAGATCTGAGTTCAAATGGAAATAAAAGCAAGATCAAGATGAAACAGGGATTATTGCTGTTAAAGTAGTTTGGCCATGATACAACAAGCACATAAATCATTAGCCAAATCAAATACTGGTTGGTTTGTCAAGATGTTTGTTGTCTGTCGTCTGTCGAGCTGCTATGAACACTGAACGCTCTCACTCTTACTTTAAAGAGAGTAGTTTAAGTTGAATGGTAGTGAGCTGTAATTAGACAAAGCAGCTATTCAGTGCTCACATCAAGCCAGGCTAGGAAATGGCATCAACTGTGGTGGGAGGAAGCAGGTTCGGCAGCCCTATGTTGTAAACTTCTGTTATGTCTTGTGTTTGATCAACTGATGTTTTTTGCTCTGTTTTGTGCAGTGATAGTAGCAGGTAACTGCATGCTTGTCAAATTATGTGAATAAACGAATTCATAACATTGCATTTTTCTCTCCATGCAAGGAACAAGTAAGATGTTGTAGAAAATGTAATAGAGGGCTGCATTGCTGATTTTGCACTTTATCAGAGCTTTATTTAGAATTGCTTTCCTGAAAGCTACACACAGGCCACAGTGCTGAAATTCACAATGTCATAGCTTTTGGCAGAAAAAAGAAAAGACTTTCCTAGGTAAAATTGGCTGAAAGTATGGCAGAGCAGGTCTTGATGCGTATGCCCATCCGTGTGCTTGCTGAAGCCGAACTGACTGCAACACATTTAACTCTGACCCACCATGGTGGCTGGCATATCCTGAACTTTCACCACTCTAAACAAGACAACTTTCAGTCCTCAGCATTGTATTAAAACACTGTACAAAACACTCAAAATTTGTTTCAGTGCCATCCACGGACAACATCAGTCGCCATTCACCAGGCCAGTAAAAACAGAATAGATAATAGCTTCAAACCCATGTAGTCAGAGTTACTAGGTCTGCACCTCAAAACAAAATCCAGGTGACATTCACCACGCCAGTAAAAAACAGGTACTTAGGTAACGTAACAGCTTCAAATCTGGTAACATGTTGGTCGGACTTTACACTAGCATATTTACATGGAATAATATGATACCAAACAATAGTGCAACCATTCTGGACAACAAAAGTGTATGATAAAATTCATAGGCGTAGGAACAGGGGGGGCCAGGTGGGCAAGTGCCCACCCACTTTTCGAGGTGGGGGGGCCAACCATGTGTTTTGGCCCACCCACTTTTTACTCGAGGCCCCTCGTTTCGATTTGAGAGGACGTCGTCACCTTCCAGACTAAACAAACTCGGTAAAAATAAGTTCCACGAATCCCCACGCACGGACTCCAAGGGGCCGTGATGGATCCAAGGAGGCCCTCTGTTCATACTTGTCAGTCGAAGCCCCTGAGACTGATGGCCTGAGAGGCCCTAGTGGATCTGAGGAGGCCCCAATATCCACACTGGTCTGGGGAGGCCCCTGACACTGGCGGTCTGGGAGGCCCCTCTATCCCTCTATCCACACTAGTCAGAGGTCTGAGACTGGTGGTCTGGGAGGCCCCTCCATCCACACTAGTCAGAATAGGCCCCTGACACTGGCGGTCTAGCCGAGGCCCCCTACCCTCACTAGTCAGAGGAGGCCCCTCTATCCTCAATAGTCAGAAGAGGCCCCTGAGACTGATGGTCTGGGTGGCCTATCCATCTACACTGTAGTCTGTAGTCAGAGGAGGCCCTTGAGACTGATGACCTGAGAGGCCCTTATAATCACACCAGGCAGAAGAGGCCCATGAGACTGATGGACTGAGAGACCCTTCTATTCATACTGGCCACAGGAAACACCCAAAACTTTCGCTCTGGGCGGTCCCTCAATCCGGCACCAGTCAGAAGAGTCCCCTGAGACTGATGGTATGAGAGGCCCTCATATTCACACCAGCCAGAAGAGGCCCCCGAGGCTGATAGCTGTGACTTGTGAAGCCCTTCTGTTCATATAACTGGTCACTGGAGGCCCCTGAAACCGGTGGTCTGGGAGGGCCCTCTATCCAAACTAGTCAGAAGAGGCCCCTGAGACCGATGGTCTGAGAGGCTCTTATATTCATACTGGCCACAAGAGGCCCCTGAGACTGATAGTCAGAGAGCTCCACTCCTAATGAAACTGAGGGGGCCCTCTATCCACATTTACACTTTTCTAGGGAGGCCCCCGAGACTGATGGTCTGAGAGGCCCTTTTATTTATACTGTCCACAGGAGCCCCCTGAGAGTAATGGTCTGAGAGGCTCTTCTATTTATACTTACCAGAAGAGGCCCCTAGGATTGATGGTCTAACAGGCCCTTCTATTTATACTAGCCAGAGGAGGCCCATGAGACTGATTGTCTGAGAGGCCCTTCTATTCAAACTAGGCAGATGAGGCCCCTGAGAATGATAGTCCGAAGAGCCATGCGGCGGCAACTGGCCGTGGCCATATTTCGGCTCGGTAGGGCCCCACAGAGCTCATGAGAGCACCTCAAGGGCTCCTGAGTAGACACGCTTATCCCCATAAGGGTGCCACGCCGGCTTCTGAAGGCTCCTTGTAGGCATCTAAGGGCCCTTTCCGGCCTCTAACGACTCCACCCGCCTGTGATGGCTCCACACCAGTGTTTATGAGCGCCACACAGCGGCGCCTTTGAGGGTCATACTAGTGTCTCTTAGGGCCCTATATCGGTGGCTCTGGGGCCCCACACCGGCGCCTCTGTGGGCCACCACACCTGTGCATCTCAAGGCTCTATAGGTACATCTGAAGGACCCACACCGACACCTCTGAGGGCCCCACACCAGTATCTCGGAGCTCTGAAGGCCACACACTGGTGACTCTGAGGACTCACCGGCTCCTGAGAGCACCATGTTGATGTCTAACGGCTCCACAAGGCCACTGAAGGCACCACACAGGCTCTCACTGAGCTCTGATGTCCATGTACCGGCCTCTGAGGGATTTAAGCCAGCGCATTCATAGCTCCACACCAGCAATTGTAAGGGCTTCACACTGAAGTATCTGAGAGTTCCACACCGGTGTCTCTAAGGGCCACATACCGGCATCTCTGAGGGCCCCATACCGGCGTCTCCAAGGGTCCACATCTGGCGGGCACCCATCAGCGACTGAAGGTCCCACACTGTGGACTCCGAGAGCCCCATCTGCGTCTGGGAGCAACATGCCGTCTCTAAGAACCACAGCGGCTCCTCCGTCGAAAGATGGGCGTCTGCATGCCAAAGGGGAGCGGTTCTGAGACAGTAGGGCACCTACGTGCAATAGAGGGGCGCCTATGAAGCCCTAAGCTAGGGGCGCCTCAATGCGAAAGAGGGGTGCCTCTGAGGCCTACATATATGGGCGTCCACATGCAATAGAGGTCTGCAAGACTGCAATTGATCAATGCCATGGGGGTGCATTCATAAGGAACAGGGGCGCCGGCATGGCAAAGAGAGGCGCCTTCAAGTGTCCATAAAAGAGAGATGCCTATGATAAGCGCACATTGTATGCGACAACGGGGCGACTGTGGGACATATAGGGATGTCTCTGATGACTCGTATGCATAGGGCGCTTATAGGTATGCCAAAGAGGGCGCCTATGAAGCTAATAAGGGCACCTGGGAAACGAGGAAGACATTTGTGTAAGGGTTTTCAGGGGTCATGCGCCGTTTGCGGCAAATAGATTCTAAAAAAAAATCGGAGGGGGAATAAGTTTTAAAAATGGTGCGGACTTTCCGCACTGTTCGCTTAAGCGGTTACGCCCCTGGGTACATGTGCCCGATCTCAGAAGCTTGATTTGGAGGTCATACTTGAAAGCAGCCAGCAGGACGAGGCAAAAGTTGGAGGCCCCTGAAAATAGGAGGCCCCTGGAAAAGGAGGCCCCTTGACAGGGTGGCCCACCCACTTTTCATGACGTTCCTACGCCCGTGATAAAATTAATTTAGAATACTCTGGCAGCATGATTTACGAGCACAGGCAGGTGTTACCTACCAGCCTTCTCAATGCTCGTAAAACCAACATTGTAGTTTTGATTTTACCTTACATGATAACACACTTGGCTGCAATGGCACATTTAATTTAATACTGTGAAAAGACCAGTTATAACCACTTCACAAGCACAATTGCACCTCATGCCGACATCCTTTTCCAAAGACAGTCAGCAGCGTCTTTCGTCAAAACTGGAAGATAAATCCCCTTTCAACTGTTAACATCAAAAATATTTCTTCATGGTGTGACTGTGATCTCCATATGGAAACCTTGCAGGAAAAGAATTAATGTCAATTGTCAGCTCTTCAAATTTCTTTGGACTTTAACTTGCAGTACCATATCCAGTTTGCTTTGATATTTTGTTTTTTATTCCATGTTGAAGTTGAACACCAAGCTCCAGATATAGCAGGCAGCTTGATCATCTTCGGCCTTGGTATAATATCAGTCCAAGTTCCAGTGGTGGGTATCTTCTAATATTCAAATTAAAATGAAAAGCAATAGGCTTTCTCAGCGCCGACGACGGATTTCACGTTGATAAAAAAGGGAGCTCAAGGTCAGCAAAACTCGGGTTCAAGGAATGGCGGGCGTTGAAATGACTGCTGACGTCATCAAAAAACCGCTAATGGTTAAAGGAAAAGTGCCACCTTCTTGAAATATGAAGATATCGTTGGTTTTTATTTTGACATTATTATTTTCCATTTTCTTTTCAAAACCGGTGCCAGAAGTGCATAATTCACTAAAAAGTATTTCAAACTATTTAACATATTGGTACTATGTTTATACTCTCTACCGCAGCTACTGTATGATGTCATAGCAATGACGTCACACTCAAGCCAATCAGCCTTGAGGAGGATAGACTCGTCGGACTGTAGCGGTTGTAAACAACTTGTCGCCCCGTGTGTCTGCCCGTGGCGCTAGTTATCTGTCGGAGGTAAGGGTGAAAGATGCATATAATGGCCATGGAACGCTATTTTAGGATTATTGGTGAATAGCAAGAATATAGTTTTGGTGGTTTGAAATTGTTTGTCCTCAGTGATTGGCTTGATTCTCATTTTGCGGCATAAGCGGCTGTTTGGATACATTGCATTTTTTTATAATTGTGTAATAATTATGATTATGTTCCTCCAAAGTAGGCATTACATATCAATCTCAAAGGCAGATCATCGTCTTTTCATGCCTATAATTTTCTTCAAGAATATTTATAAAAAAATATTCCATTTACCCCTGCCTATCATATATCCCATGGAGCTGCCGGTGGAAGTAGGCATACAATGTGACCTAGCATTGGCGATGTGGTTAATAAGCTTTAAAGTACTATTGAATGCTAAAGGTCATCATTTAGAATGGTTTTCAAAACATTCCACTAGGAAATATTCATTGAAACCTGAAAATTACAAAATGTAAATGTATAGCCACGTTTCAAGAGCATTCAGCCGTCTTCTCAGTAAATATATAATGAAACATAATCTTACCTGACCTAGCCTTACCTACAACCTACAACGTACGGCATTGGTAAAGCTGGCATCACTGTCAGCGTATATTAAGGTAGGTTGTAGGTCAGTAGGTAAGGTTAGGTTAGGTTAGATTGTTTTTAAGATTCCTTTTATCTACACATTTACCGGTTAGCGCTGACGGTGACACCAGCTTTACCGATACCCAACCTACCACCTACAACCTACAACCTAAAACCTACATTCAATGGTGGCGGGTGGTGATAATTGTTATACCTATATGATAATACTGGAGATAAATACCATACAGATTAGCTGGTATCCATGACACACTTTCTTAAGAAGAACGTCTTCTATTAAATCATGTCTATATTATAGGAATCAAATGATTTTTGTTGTAGTCACATTCCCTACTCTGACCATCATGTCTGATTATTTCCAGTTACCACTGACAATGCCCAAAACAAGAACAACAAAGGCCCAAAGGTGGCTGTTTGGTAGTGCGCAAAGCTGCTGGTAAGTGGCATCAAAGGATAGGATGTGCTTTGTTATTTCCAGGCACGTAGCCAGGATTTTGCTCAGGGGGGGGGGGGGGGGTCACAGGTTGTGGCCTAGTGTTGTACCCCCTCCAAAAAAGGAAAATTTCTCGGATTAGGCCCACTATTTTGGGGGTGTGTCACAGCCGTTTTTATTAAAAAAAAAAAAATTCGCCATCACCGAGGGGGGAAGGGGCACGAGGGCATGGCTCCCGTGCCCCTCCCCCCTCCTTGGTTATTTCTGAGAGTTTGGATATCACAAAGCTTTAGATATAAATTAGAATGTAATAAGAAGCTTTCAGCATTGCACCTTTCCAGACACTGATAATTCATTTGCCTTTATTGTTTCAAAAGTCAATTTTCAACACAAAAAAGTTGAAATTATTAACTCAAATAATTGCAAATATATACTTTGGTAATTTGCCTTTCGCGTCACTATCAACAAAATAATCAAGGGTGACTAAATATGAAATGTTCCTGCATGATCTTCATCGTGAACAATTGTCAAGGTATGATGTTTGCGTGTTGAAATGTTATAAAGAACTTATGTCATAAAAAGTAAAAACACAACTTGTAAAATTGTGTCTTTCCATATTATTCTGCAAGTAAGCCTTGGAAGGAAGAGACACTATTCCGTCCTACAGAAGCCATTTAGAAATGTGTGACATGTTCAGCACTTTGAGTCAGTCGGTGCCCGGACCTCAGTCGGCTGTATGACCGTCTCCTCGTCCTCTTTTGTCGGCTCCGCCCCGTGCTGTTCTATAAGGGTGTCTGACCCGCTGCCGCTATCCCCACTGTGAGGTCTGACCCGTCGCGCGCTGTCACCACTGTCGGCCCTCTGTGTGCGCGGCAGGTGGTGGTGGATGTCTCTGCTCTGACGCGCGGCGTGCGCCTGCTCAGTGTGGAGGTGCCGCCAACAGCGGTGCCAGCCGGAGTGGCTGCCTCGCCGGCGGCCGACATTGAGCGCGGCACGTGTCAGCCGCCGTTCGGGCCGCTGCAGCTGCTGCAGTCGGCGGCGCAGCTGTCCGTCTCCGTGTCGCTGGCCGTGCCGCTGGACCTGCTGCCGCGGCCGGCGCCGGCGCGCTGCGCCTACGGCCGCCTGCTGGCCGTCGTCTCGCAGCGCGGCCTGCAGCGCAGCGGCGTGCTGCAGCTCATCCAACAGCTCAACGAGCCGCCCAGCCCGGCGGCGGCCGAGGGCACCGCGCCGCGCCGGCCGGGCGACGTCAGCACACCTGGCATCAGCGGCTTCTGCCTGGCCGACCGTCAGCTGCACCCGCTGTTCGCCGAGGGGCGCGCCGACGCCGAGCTGGAACAGACGGCGGCCGCGCCGCGCGCTCTGCCGCGCCGCGACGCTCGACTCTGCCACCATTCGGGCCTGCTGTTTAGGGAGCGCCTGTACCCGCGCCAGCCGGCCGCGTTCCGCGTGCTCGAGGACCACCCGCTACGCGCCCAGCTGCTCGACACCCGCCTCTACACGTTACAGAAACAGGAGCCGGCGCGCGCCGTCCGCGCCATCAGAGAGTGCTTTCGCACGCAGTGGCTGTCGGAAAATGAACCTGCTTCCCAACGAGGCCGGCCTGCAACAACTGCTGGCCGGCTGTTGGCCGAAAAAAAAAAACGCCTTCAACCGGATGTCAGTTGTCAAATCAACGCGTATTAATGCATTCACTATAGGATGGGCTTACGTAAAGCTGTAGAATTGCAAATATATAATGGCACTGTTTTTGATCCGTTCGGCATGCATTGGTATCATATGATCTCTCATTCACAGACGATCAGCTGCGAAGACCCAGATCCGTAGTAGAGGGCTCATCGAGTCTGGGTCCAGCTCCCCGTACTTCCTCCACTTTGGAAACACCGCAGCGCAGACCACAGTTATACATAATATTTAGTTTTCATTCACTTCATAACCGAAGGTTGTTTGATAGGTGATATGCTGCTTGAGTTGCACCCCGGTATATCAATACGAAGCTTCCGTCCCTGCCACATACCAGTGAAGGAGGCGGCGGCGGCGGCGGCGGCGGCGGCGGCCGGGGCCGGGCTGCCCTGCCCACCGACACAGTCTGTGAAATGCCTCAACAACCTTTAAATTTCAACAGGCTTCATAAATGTTTTTTGCACCATATTTTCTCGCGTATATGAAAGCTCTAAAATGTACAATATTCCTTTCAGCCGCAAGCGATATAAAAGCTCTACAAAACGTCATGTCTCTGTGTGCAAGAAAGACACATATATTGTGTATAATCGAGCGTACATGATCTGCAGCGCTGCGGAGGGCTGCTCGGTTGCCGCTTTTTACCAGTCGGCTCTAGGTCGGACATATGGGTAAACAAAATGGAATAGTAATATTAAACAATGCTACCAGCTGATGCTACTGGGCCTCTCATTGGTGAAGAACTGGCAGCCAGCCAGCGTGTTTTTGTGAGAACTGTTTTAACAGCAGCAACCGAACGTCTCTCGGGCCAGCGACCAGTGAGCGTAGACAGCACAGCGCTCCGTTAGGCATCGGCGGGCAAGCACGCATTAGCTGTGGACGGACCGGCCGCCCGAACATATTTGTCGGTATCGAAAGTATCGTGAACCAAATGACTGCTAGCGAAAAAAGGACTGCCTCTCGTATCCATGAAAACATGTGTTCTACAAAAGTACATAATTGCTTAGTTGTCGCCAGTCACTCATTGCACCATGGCGTCAGTGTGGGGCCGCGCCCCGAATCATCTCAATCGCCAGGCAAAGCATCTCAATCGACAGGCACATGGTAGTCCAGCTACGAATCCGAGCCGCGGCATCCCGTCTATATACCTACATTACACCACAATCGAACACTGTCGGGCCACCCGAGACAGCAGTCTCCAATGTAGCATCAAAACACGCCACTCGTCTAATATCAGAAAAATGAGCATTGAGTACCTACCGAATATCGACTACAGAAGATTACAATGGGGTGCAGATCTAGCAAGAGTGTCGCGGTTCGTCTCGGCACGGCTTACAGGCCGCCGAGCCCGCGCAGATGACCGCCAGCTCCACCTGTTCCACCTCCGGCGCGGAAGCTCGATCACAAGACTGACCTCAGTCGGCGCTCTGTGCTCGGCACAGGGCGACCGGGTCAGGAGCGGGCCGCGGCCACCAGCCACGCGGCAGCGCCCGCGCACCGGCCGCCACCACCCGCTCAGCCCAGATGCGCGCCACGGCGTCATTGGGGCTTCCCTGAGCAGGATCGAACCAGAGCTGCATGCACGGCTCCGTATCCGCCGTGAACTTCCACGAGTGATCCCACACCTGAAAAAGGCACACGGTTTGCGTCACAGCTCGGCTCACTTTCACAGTCCACGCACCGGCAGCAATTAAGGGCTACTTAGATAGTGCGCTAATAGAGCGAAATCACTTAGCTTAATCCATATAGTCAACCATGAATTGTTAATTACGAGCGAGCGAGCGAAGCGAAGTCTTTTCAATATCACGGAAAAGCTCAGTATGAGCGCCGAGCGGCCCGACCCGGCCCGGCCTGTAACGCTTTTGAGAGGCTTATATCTCAGCAACCGCTGGACCGATTGGCCTGCGGTCTTTTTTTTTTGTTGGGTAGCCCTATTCCCTCTACCCCGTAATTGACTACTCTTGATACATCACAGGGACCGTCGTGGCACGTGCCACCTGAAAAGTCAAGGGTGTTATTTGTCAAAAGTTGCAAAAGAAGTGATTTTGAGAGGCTCATATCTCAGCAGTCGCTTGGGCGGTCTTGCGGTAAATTTTGTAGGGTAGATGCACCCCTTCAACCAAAGGTCGGATGCTCTTGATCTATGTGAGTGACCCCCACTGCACGTGCAAAATGCAAAAAGAAGAGGTGCCGAATTTGTTCCCATTTCAATAACTCTGTAATTACTGGGGCGATTTAGCTGAAACTTGGCAATTTGGCATGCAGGTAGGCAGTAGGCACCCACCAGACAATGCATTCCCATATGTTGCGGTTAGGGTGCTACTGCTTAGTGTATTATGTGTAAAATAAAGGACGCTTGAATCTTACCTGAGTGATGTCCATTTCTTGATCACTTTCATCTGTGGGTGACCGAGCAGCGACAGCAACCCAAGGCGTATACGGAATCTGTAAAAAATCAGCACACCGTTACATGTTTTAATAAAACTTACCTATAGGGAGGTAGCATAAAATACAGATCAAAACAATAACATACAAACATACAGATATTCGGTTAGGTTGAAATGGCTAAAAAATATAAAAAAAATATAGCAGGCATTTTCATCACTTTTAAAAAATAACTTACAGTCTGATCCGGCAAAGCACTGTTCTTTAGACGCAAACGTTTTTGACTGTGCTTATCATGGTGCGCACTTCTTGTTAAGTTTAAGTGGTCTTGGCTCATTGGTCATGCCACACACCCTCATCCACTTTTCTCTGTACTTCTTTTTTTAGCGGGAACCTAAAAGTAAAAAAGGGTCAACACATGCTTAGTCCATGCAACACATACTCTGTGTATTAACCCTCGCCCGCACATGGGGGGGGGGTTGCCACCCCCCCCCCCAGGTAGTCTTTCTGCTCTGCACTCAAAATTTTTAGAGCTAGAAGGCTGATTTTTCGTATAGCTGCTCCTCTATCCTTTCTTGATGTCCACTGAAAATTTCAAGTTTCTGTGATTTTTGGTTTCGGAGATATGACCTTGTTTTTCAGGTCATGTCATGGCCCAAATGGCCAATTCTCAACATCTTGCGCTTGCCATGGGCCTTGTGAGCTTTTGACACCCTGATTTCGGCCTTTTTTGCCAGTCTTACCTCCCACCTATCATGGAACATGTTGTTCGACGATGTACAGGGGTCAAGGTCAACCTAGGTCATCTAAGATAATTGCATTTTAGGCAAGCTGAATTTACTTTTTGTGAAGTTTTTTGACTGCATTTTTGGTAAAAGCTTCTCAGATCATGATTTCATGTAATATGGACCCAAAAACAATCGGTGCACACATCAGTATACACACAGACACACACAGACATACAAACACATATAATTGACATTGACCTAACTTGACCTGAAATGACCTCAGCAGCAAAATTCTGGTTGGGTAGTGTGACAAAGAGGTTCTAGCTAGCTTGGCACCAGAAAACAGCATCGTCATCGGTATTTGATAAGCAGCGCACTTGATATCCAACGGTGACCCAAAACAGCAATATTTTTTAGTTTGACCTGACCTGGAAGGTCAATGACTGACCTGAGAAGGTAAAACTGGGTATCATTGGATTTGTCTCTTCCCAAAGAATCTTTTTGGTCTTTACCGCTAAGCTCTATCTCCAACAGGAACGAAATGGCGCGGGGGGTGGCAACCACCCCCCCCCCCCATGTGCGTTCTAGGATGGGAAAATGGCATGTGCGGGCGAGGGTTAAGCTGAATAGCTCCACTGAGCCCAGTTTCACCAAGTGCGGTAAACTTAATTTTGGGTTAGTTTTTGTAGTTAAGTAGTGGGGTAGTTTGGTAGTTTACCCCAAATTGAGTTTACCGCACTTGGTGAAACTGGGCTCTGGTGAGTTTCCTTTTCTTGTCAGCACATAAGTGAAAGAAAACTGTGTAGACAAGAGATGAACCAGACCCCCATGGAAAGGTAGGTGTTACCACAACCTGAACCAGGAAATGGGATTTGAAGGGCTGGATAAATGTGTCTGAGTTCTGCCTTTCAGCCAGACTGGAAAACATCCATACACTACGCCGGACGCCCGTGAGCCCCTCATGCGCCAAAATTTGAAGCAAGCAATTTTGAGCTGAAATTCCAGTGCATGATTTCCACTGAAAGTTGGGTGCCTGTTTGCACCAAAATTAAGCCACTTTTACATAAAGCACATGTGCATATCTACCGACCAAGGCTATATCAACCGACTCTCTTCAGACCTGCCAGCGCCCGCAGGGCAAGTCTGCTGCTAGATTGACCACAGCGTGTCAAAAAATTCAGTGACAGCCATTTGCATAAACATTATGCGCCATGCGGTCACCCTGCGCCTAAAAATTCAGCTGCCACCATGCGCTGAATTTGACGCATGCAAAATTATGCTGTATGTGCAATGAAATTTTCGGGGCAACGCCGCAATCACGCCACTTCGCCTGACATATTTGGCATAACTTGTGTTTTTTTATCCAGTCTGGCATTTCAGTTGTGAAAGCCTGAACAGTTCAAAAGGGTTTGCTAATCCAGGGGAGAGTTCTGTGAAAACAAAAGTAATAGAAGAGCCATTGCAATAAATAAGAATTTAGGTACCTACCTAGGTACCTACTTTGACTTACTTGTGCACAGTCACACGCATATCAGTCCTGACCCGACGTAGGTCGTTTGCTCCGCGGATCACGCACTTCTTCATCGTTATTATAGGTATTTGTTCGAAGTCGAACAAAAATGCCCTGATTTCGGATCAGAGCCACGGTATAAAATATGGTATACTGCCTTGCGTAAGATAAAAAGGATAAAAATACATTTTAGCAATTGGCTACCAAACGAGATGTCATCTGTTCAGGGCATAGCATAGGTTTACTTTCATAGACCACATGAAAGTAGCTCATGAAACTCATCACCAATCAGCGCGACGGATTTCAAGATTCGATTGCGGATGTTCATCCGCCGGCCGATTGCCAGAACAGACAACGAAAAATAACGCAACTGCTCGTGGTCTGCTCGCTAGTACAGGGATCCGTGCCTGATCAGTAATGCTGCAAGCTGATTGGTTAAAAACCAAAGCCT